GGATCAGTCATACAGTTACAGGGTCAATGACAAATAGTTAGGAAAGAAAAGAAACCCCCCCCTCATGCTGTAACAACACTTGAATTGCATTCATTGCGATCTGCAAGAATTACAGCATAAGTCAGGCTACTCACTTTTGAGTCAGATGCAGCAGGATCAAATTTGATTTTTAATATGAAGGATAGGTGGCATCCTATCTAATATTAATTATCGAGACACAGACATATACGGACCAATTACAAGAAGGCTACTAGTGCAGTTTGTAAATCATGTCAAGGACAAGTTTGGTGATACAAGGTATAGAAACCTCAGGAGATTAGTGAAGGAACTATTATGAGAAAGTGATCATGCAGAGTCCTGATATCTGAAGACATGCAATATGTGACACATTCATGAGGCCAGCTGCATGTTTTGAGATGAGCATTACCCTTATCGGCAGCAAAGGTTCATCTACAAGTTCTGTAAATTGGATGAGTGAGTGCTCCATGCCACTGGCGTACATAGTCTAACAGCAGTATCAGAGCGAGACCTTCAAATTATGAAATCCCGCGGATCCCATGAGACATCTTGTGATAATAGAATACATATCATTACAAAAGCCATCTTATTGTACATTGAATCCTTCTTAATTGATTGAGCAAGGCCACACCTGAAATGTGGAATAAGATGCATGCTCAGTCCCTAGCATATCAGCAGGCTGAACATCTCTGGAGCAAGCCGGATTGGCAATCTGACGGTGAATGTGCTGGTGGGAGGGTTAATGACTGATCGTGCGAGTCTTGAGCGATTCCTTGACAGCTGTCATTTGAGAAATGGGCTATGCATCACTCACGAGTTAGGAAATTAATTCAACTTCATCTCGCTTAGGTCGCCATGTCGGCAATACAGTGCCATTTTGGAGAGCTTGCACGTCTTTGTAAGACTTATACACGATACAACTAGGTCCGTATCTGCGTGGTTCGAGACTGGATATGTTTATTTACTCAAATAACTCCGAGGAATCTTGTCTCCACGACAATCGATCCTGCAGCACTCGCCCACATCTTCTAGAAGTTCACACCAGTGAGCTTCGAATAGGCAGGATGACTCAGACTAGAAATCTTGACTTCATCAACGATGGCTGATAAATAGCATGGCCCCATCTGTGATACTCACACAGCTGATGGATGCTTTGGGGTTTGGAAGACAGCCTACGGTAAGTGAACTTGTGCTGAAATAAGTTATTCCTTTTTTCTTAACATTTCGCAATATAGCTTGTTTGAAACATAATCACTGGATCGTTTAGCAAAGAGAGGATATGCTGCAAAGCAACTTCAACATCGCAATTATGACTCGGATGCTTTTGGACTGAACTAGCCTTCCATTGTATCAACGGAGGTTCTGCGAAGCATCCAACGCTTCTTTCGAAAGTCAAAACTCCCATACGCTCATATTTATAGAGCTCGTTCGTTCTTCAAACTCGAGTTGATTGTTATCCGCTCACCCTGGAACGGGATATCTCCCTCTGTGATACACCAGTCCGGTGCCCAAATGTCTTCCGCTCAGATGGAGATAACCATCCTTGAGACGCTGTAAGTGTTCTACTTCACCCTCGTTATCATTTGCAATGATGTACTATCCATCAGATACACGGAATCACTGTGCCAATGTGCAGCGTGCGGTAAATATATATTCGCAATATAATTCTTCAACTATCCAGCATTAAACCCCCTAGCTTTGATATTCTATGAGTATTTTGTCACCATTTCTCGCGAAGTTGATTTGATCTGGACGAGAAAATTATCGGGCTCGACGATCATATTTTTCCTAAATCGATACTTTCTTTTGCTATATGGTGGAGTTTATTTGTTATCCATGTTCAATTGGACAACGGGACCGGTAAGCAAGCTCAATTGCTATGTGCCTTCGTGCACTAAATGATTTATACAGGGGTGCGTCCATATCATACCGTGATTACCCATCGTCTTACATTCATCTCGCGCTGACAGCTGTGAGGCTATCTTCGTGCTACAAGGAATTACGAGTATTGTGTTAAATGCTATCGCTGCGGGTGAGCTTTAATTAAACATCGTGATAGACACCGATGTGAACATATTTCCCCAGTATTTGCGGCTCTACGCACATACGCCATAGGTGGGCTTGATAAGCGATCCGCGCTGCTTGCATTCGCATTCGGACTTGTTCCCGTGGCGATCAACTTGGTATCCTCTCTCTGTTTACCCTATTAGTCTCATTGCTTACACGAGACACAGTTTAAGTTTATTGAAACAACGTATCCTGTCGTGGTGTTTATGGAGCCTCTCGTGATCTGCAATGTAGAACCTAAGGTTTCCACCGCTGTAGCAACCAAGTGAGCTCCGTGCACTGGTTGTAGTGACATATTGTCTTTACTTAAACTTCTTTCAGATGTGATTATCATTCCATCTGTGATGGCCCGTGCGAATTGACGCTTCGACAGTATCTATCATTACACGGATAGCATCTATGATTTCAGAAATCATTGTCATTGCTGTCACTTGGAAAAATACCTTCCAAGGCTGGCGGGTCGCTTCGCGCGGGGCAATCGACGCCTCGACGCTTACCGTCATACTTAGAGATGGTGCGTGTAATGCCTTGCCTAGAAGGATAGGCTCAGCTCACTCATCGCGTAGGGACAATATACTTCATGTACGTTCTCCTGTAATGCAACGAGACTTTAGAATAAGCGCGATGTGACATTCGCGGTGCACAGCTTTCTTCTTATATTGAACATCCTCGAAGTCGTTACCGCAGCACCTCTCGTCAGCGAATCGGTGGGTTAACTATACCATAATGCCTAAGTATGATGCTCATCGTCCCAATAGGTCTTCGGTGGCTACGTGACATTATTCTTGATCCCGTAAGTGATTAATCTTTCAAGGCGGCATCCGGAGGTTTCCGCGTTTCAAGGGTATGGACAGAACTGAGCTCATTTCGTAGAATGGCATGCATACTCATTTCACGGTTCTTGCTTAACCTGCGCCGAATCTCAGCCTCTGGTCGCGAGATGCGTTCTCAACGGTCTCCGTCAACATTCACCTCCAGAGCGGACTGGCAGACATTAGAGTTTGCTTCCCAATTCGTCGGAAACATGGGCGCGCTTCTAGACTATGCAGATGCAGGGGGTGATGATATTGAAGAGCCAACGGCCGAGGTATGTTCTATTGGGGGGCAGAAGTGTGAGGAGACCCCGGCCCGCCAAAAAATATATGGAGAGACGGCAACTCAGAAGGAAAACGATGCACCGGTGGTTGAAGATATTGAAATGATACATGTATAAGCGGACAATTCTACCGTGTACTGGTTCTTCCCTCTCGTATGTTATTACATGTATTTCAAGTTGCATTGGCTGACTGCCAAAGGCTCCTTGTCGAACTTCTAACGCGAACATGTATTCCAGTTGATGGTACCCTCTGTCAGGCCAGAATGACAGTAAGCTAAAAGCTGAGACATCGCGGGGCCAGTGCAAGAAAGAAGGGTGCTCAAATAATGATCCAGCGATATTTGCTGGCCACGCAGGCTAACATTTATCGAGGAAGCTCAGACCGGTGATAGCCGCTGGCAATCGATAATTGGAGCGAATGTTGCGAGCGCCTGTCGTATTGCATGCTCAACGAACGACTTGACGGCACACAGCAGACTAACGACTTATCCCCATCGACTGTCCCGTGGCATTCAACGAACGTAGCATCTATAAAATGGCAGAAGCTGCAACGTCGACAGTAATTATTCAGACAGTAACCGCTGCTCCCACTCAGGAGACTCCTCCTATCGTCGACCTACTCCGCTTCATCTCATCCTCTACGTCCCTCTCATTTTCACTCATCCTTCACGTCTCCCAGTCCATCGCTCACGCTGTCTCAGCACCTCTGATCACCCTTATTGCTACTCTCTACCCTATCCTTCTGTATATCTTTTCGCCTGTGCTAGTTTTCGCTGAGGTCGCTCTCGACGCCTTCGTCCGAACCCCATACGCGATTCTCACAGGAGTCTTTGCCGCACTCTATCCACTCTATGTTTTCATAGGAGCTAGCTGCATTTGCGCTGCATGTGTCGGTCTTGGAGCCCGAATATGCGCCAAGGCGATTAGGCGTATGCTCTTCTCAAGTCCGCGCTCTACCGCCCCCGCGCCGCCGCCGGCAAAACCGCGTAAACGTGTCTCAATAAAGGAAGAGAAGAGACGATAGCTTCATCGGTCATGTGGCTTTTGTACCTTTGAAGAGAACTGCCGATGTGAGTAACTCGTAGTCTGTTTTTGACTCGTTCCTGTCTTTGACTGTCTGGTAAACTTATTTAGACTCGAGGACACCTGGAGCCATTCGCTCCAACAGTATATTTTTACATGCATACAAAGGGTCTCTAAGCAGGAACATCCAATTTGCTATCTATGGCAAGTACTGCACCTGTACTTTTTTTTCGCGGAGCACGGTTGTATCAGTAATCTGTCAGAAGTATAGTATTTCAGCGCATTCTGTGGACTTAACCCCAAAATGGCTTCACTAACATTACGTCACCGTTCGTTTCAGACATCGCTCTCGCCGTTGGACTCGAAAATTGTTGGGCAGCACCTCATTCTTGCACGCCGATACCGTGATCTCGTACGGCCCGGACAAAGCACTAGTGTATTTGGCTCGTCGCAACTTGAAATATTCTACGTGGCACTACATTCAGGGCCGAATATATTCTTCGGCACGCACATATGAGTACAAGAATTTCTCAAAACGCTTAATCGGCCACTCTTGATTATTCAATCAGGTTTTCATGTTGCGGGTGGGGACAATGGTCACCAGGCACTTGATCCCGTCCCCTATGCCCTGATGAAGACACAGATGCATGGCTCTCGCTACGGTTCATGATTGTGGCCATTCGCACCACAATGTGGAGCATCCCGAGGATGAACTGTTCCTCGGGAGCACATCCAAAGAGTCTTCGCTGCCTGTTCATAAACGTTCTGTACTAGGATCGGGAGAGCGGCATGCATGCGACCGCCTGAAGGCCACGGTGGCGCTGTGACTCATGGGCTGTGACTGTGACCTATCACGTCGAGCGCATCCACAAAGTTGGTCTGCCGAATCAGCGGCTGCACTACATAGTGTGGCGGACGACGCTATTGTGCTCCTCCTGCCTGCCACACTCATCTGAGATCGTGGGCACACTACCCGTGAGTGTTGTTCTGGATTTGGTTCAAGCCACGACTGCCGCAACCCGCCACGTCCATCACGCACCTGCGCTGGCGGCGGAGTCTGTTGAGATGTGGCAGAATAACGCCAGGTATAAATGGGGCGCTTCTCCACCTTCCGGGCCTCACTGCTCTTTGTATCTCCACACACTGAGTCAGTTCCTGACCAACGCCTCTCGCGTAACCATCTGTCATTGCTGTCACTGCTTTCATAGAAGCTCCACTCCCATCATCCACTTGTACTGTTGCATCTCGATTGTGAGTGTCTTCATGGTCTCTTGTGCTCAGACTATTGACATTCACATCTTTTTCTGGTTGCTGGTTCATTGTCTTTTACGCCACTCGACCCTATCCACAAGTCACATCATGCTTGCTCTCAGATCTATTGCGGCTTTGACGTGGTACAAAAAAGGCATCGTCCTCGTTGACCGTCTTGTAAGAGAAGCCAATCACTCCTTGCCAAAGGCAGCACAACAAAAAGTGGGTCCGGATTGACGCGACGAAGCTCTCAAAATTCATCCGCATCTCTGCAGAATGTCGAAGACATTCCTGTCACAGACAGTACTTTCGACGCGTGGACTGGCACGCCGGTCCCTCCAGACCACGAGTTGTCCGGTATTCAGGAAACGGTATGTAAAGTGAAGTAATGTGGCATATATTTGCTAACACTGCTGTCACATAGGTCAAGCTTGTGACCCCGCAAGAATATCCTGAGGAACCTCCCATCATTCCTGCTTGGTACTATTCTTCTTTGTTTGTACGCATTCATTTTCTTTCTAACATCAATTTCGCATTCTAGGACCGGCACCAGTGTCATACCCAACGACATTGAGTTTGAAGCAACCTCTGAGTCAGCAAAAACCGAAGATATCCCCGCGCTGGCACATTTACATACACCTAGCTCCCATCCCGGGCGGATCCACATCCTTTTCTCCCAATCAAACTCTCCTGTCTCACAGCCCCCAACGCAGGCTAACCCTGAGCCGGGTGTCTTTTGGGTGCACATGTACGGTAAAGCGCAAACGCAAATCTTCATGCGCACGCGAGACGAGTGGTGGCTGTTGATGAGACAGCTGAGTCGCCACCCCTACGCACGCGAGTACGTGCTACTGGTCCTCACGCCGACGGATATGCGCTGGGTGACGCGCGAGCAAGTCAAGGCTTTCTATGAGCATATTCGCGAGCGCAGGAGAGTAAGAAAGGAGAAAAGACTGGCAGAGACGAAGGTGCCATTCCGTGAGTGTCCTGTTCTCTTTTTGGCTATATAGGGTGATGCTCATGCTCTGATGGACAGCTACGACTGAGGATGACGAGTTGCCTGCGTCTTCGGCCTCACTGGAGGTGTGTCATGTCAGCGAACTGGGAGAGCTTGACGCCCCCTACGCTGGTCAGCTCGCTTTTGCGCGGACGACGTTCGCACCCACCGTCAAGTCCGTCCGCATCTACAACAATTGCGCCATCTGGTGGTACGGCCGTGCCCGCTCCCAGTCCATTTCTTAGATGTTCTCGTTTTGCTCTACTGTGTCGTCGTCATCACCACCTCTTGTTCATGTTCCATCCTGCCTCCATCCTGCTCTAATCTGATGTTGTGTATCGCTCACGATCCATCGCATCTCACTTTCTCGGATTACACAGCGCGTATCATCTATCAGACTCGTTTTGTACTGCTCTCATATCGTGCTCTGTATTGTGTCTGTCTTCCTGTCCTACGTTATTATATAGATGCTACTGTATCGGTCGTGTACCGGCAATGAACGGGTTATCTCATATCGCTTGCATCTGCTTCCATAACCATGTTCTATGTCGCCTGTCAAACAAATTTCAAAAGGTTAAAGCTAACCGTCAACATGTTGTTACGTTGTGCTCTAGAGCACCCATGGCATATTAATATAGCGTGCATGTCGGTAGGGTGCATTGAGGCTGAGACTGCGAAAGGAGTGCCCGTTCCATAAGTCGACTTGGAAAAAAACGGAGCGAAGTTTGTCCGACCCCCGGCGACGCTGGCGACCACTCTTACAAACAGGTGAAAGCCGTCATCGTCGGGCTTCTTTGACGCCAAATTTCATTTTAACCGCAATCCCGCAGTAGGATCTGGTCCCTGAAAGTTCTGACGTCCTAAAGTGGCTACACGGACTTTCGAGGAACAGTTCTGCACCACCTGAATGAGTGGAATGGCTCCCGAGATTGAACCCATGTTTTCGCAGTACCCGGACAGGTGTGTTGAACAAAAGACCACGATCTCTAAACACGACGGACTCAGGATGTATGACGCTCGTCAAAGCGCCTCGAGGACTGGACTTCTGCTAACAGTCAGATAACGAATGTATTTATGGCTCTTCGTGAACATGAACAGGAGTTCAAAATTAGCACTAAAGACACATGAGCTCGTAGAGGCGCAATGAAACAGATCGTTGATGTGATCATGGGTACGCCTACGCGCATGCGGGGTGTGGAGAAGAGTTCGAGCGGTCGGAACTCTGCTATCTTGAAAATCTACGTAGTATGCAAGTATATATGTGATGCTCTGAACGACACTACCATGCATTTTGGTGCCGTCCTCGACCATGCTAAACAGACAGCTGCTGTGCATAGACGAACGGAAGCAGATGAAGGCGCCGGTTATGTGCCTTGTAATTTCCTTGTCCAAGACCACGTGGTCCCGTGTGGGGTTAGGTTTCGATCACTCGAACTGGGTTGCTGGGGATCAGTTCCTACTAGCAGGCGAATGCACTCGTGTCTTTCATCTCCCCTGCATATGATCGTCGAACTCGTCAAGCTACAACGTTGCAGGGCACACGGGCCTCATGTATGTCTTCGATACATACGCATGTTCAGAAAGTACAAGGTTGGGATGAACGTGCGGATAGACGAGCCTTCAGAAGAGGATTGGCGGACTGATATATACGTAGTTTCGCATGGAGGACGATGGAGATCCGGGTAGCCGAAGCCAAGGGAAAACTTGCTAGCGAGATATTATGCGGGGTCTGATGGGAAGGTGGGGCAAATGATATGGACGAGCGCGGGGCCAGCGCCTACCGCTATTTAATCCACCGCCGCTTTTCCTCTTCCGCCCCGAAGGCCTACCTCCCTCTAACCCCCATGGATTCCAGCTTCTATCGCAACCCTTTCGTCGGCTTCATTCCGCGCCGCGAGAAGTCAGTCGATGGACAGACTCTCTGGGCCGCCCTCTGCAGTCTTTCATGGGTCCAGTGGGGGCACTTCTGGTGTGGGTGTGTATCTCTCACGTATCATTGCGACAGTGTCCGACAGCTAACGACCATCTATATCCTCGTTCCCAGCTGGTTGGCATGGATTTGCGATTCGTATGATTTCTTCAGCGTGTCACTCAGCGTCACCAACCTCGAAAAACAGTTCAGTAAACCCGCAAACAGTATCGTGCGTCCATCTTTGAATATCTTTTTCTCGATTTTCCTAACGCTGTTGCACATGTCAGACGACCGCTATCACGTTAACGCTGCTTTTCCGGTCTCTTGGTGCAGTGAGTGTCCGTCAGAATCGTGTAGCGGATGGCTGGGGGTATCGATGCCAGTAGTAGCCAATTGCCCCCGCTGTCTACTAGATGTCTTCACTCTGGTCCTCGTTGCTGACTTCACAACTGTCAGTTTATTTTTGGAGCACTCTCGGATCGATATGGCCGAAAATGGCCACTTATTGCAAACCTCCTCCTTGCCGCCGCCTTCGAGCTTGGCTCCGGCTTTGTGCAAACCTTTCCACAATTTCTTGCCGTCCGATCCCTCTTCGGTGTCGCCATGGGCGGGATATGGGGGCTTGCCTCGTCCACTGCGCTCGAGAACCTTCCGGTCGAGGTTCGCGGATTGGCGAGTGGCTTCCTGCAGGAGGGCTATGCTGTGGGCTATCTGATTGCGGCCGTCGTGAACCTCTGGCTCGTCCCCGAGACAACCTCAAGCTGGCGCAGTCTGTTCTTCCTCGGCGCGGGGCTGTCTACTTTCTCTGCATTTACGCGTTTGTTCCTGCCGGAAAGCGAATACTTCGAGCGTGCGAAAGCAGCGGAACTTGCAAGCGGGCGGATAAACACGAACAAGACGCGGATCTTCCTGCGTGAGACGGGGCAGATGTTGAAGCGCCATTGGATGCTGTGCTGCTATGCGATCGTTCTCATGAGTGGTGAGTGTATATATTCAGGTGTATATACATATCTTGGACCCTGATTTGTCTCTCTGATTAGGATTCAACTTCCTCTCGCACGGTTCTCAAGTATGTCTCCCCAAGTCTTGTATAAATCCTCCCCCCCTGACAGCTTGTAGGACTTGTATCCCACCTACCTTACGACTACGAAGGGTTTCAGTGAACACGATGCGACTGTAGCAACTATCATCGGAAACTTGGTAAATGAATATCTTATTTGTGTTTGTTATTACCTCCTTACGCTGTTTCTCATAGGGTGCTATTGCGTAAGTGCATTTATAGACACTAAATCCACGTCAGTGTCGCTGATAGTCTCTTGATGTGGAGTGGAGGTACTATTGCAGGATGGCTGAGTCAATACATTGGCCGTCGTCTCACAGTTATGTGCGTTTTGTTTTTCATCCTCTTTGCTGCGTGCCCTAAATGCCTGTCTCATCAGCCTCTGTGTGGTTATTGTTGGAGGTGTGTATTTTCTTCAACAAGCGCCAAGATATGACTGAATATCTCGCCGATTTGTATAGCATTTATTCCGCTGTGGATCCTTCCTAACGGGTTTAGCGCGCTCTCAGCGGGCGCATTCTGCGTTCAGTTTGGCGTGCAAGGGGCATGGGGTGTTGTGCGTATCAGCCACGCATGCCACGCAATGCCAATCTGACTGCATTCTCGTAGATTCCAATTTTTCTCGCTGAGATGTCTCCTCCCGCATTCCGTGCAACATTCCCTGGAACGGCGTACCAGATCGGTAATGTGAGTAGATATGCCCTTATGCGACATGCCCTTTTGCTCATAAACATTTTGCAGATGGTATCTTCAGCATCTGCACAAATCGAAGCCAGTGTGTCCTTTTACTCGGCGCTGTTCCTAATGAACCTCAACTGATACGTTCTCGGTGTCCAGCTGGGGGTGATAATATCAAGACGACCATCATCTCAAACGGCCAACCGAAAGTCGTCGCGAATTATGCCACGGTGAGTCAGGTTTGCCATCTGTACGTGTGCAACTTTCGTCAATCCACTACCCGCGATAGGTGCAAGGCATTCTTGTCGGCGTCGTCGCTGGATTTGTCATCCTGTGCACCATCGTTGCACCCGAGTGAGTACCTGATTCGATCGATCGATCGTGTCGTAGTGTAAGTGTAAACCGCTGACTGACTGCGTGTTTGCAGAAACCACGGCTCGCATTTCGAGAAGTACAAGGCCGCATTTGAGGAGGGCGCAGGGCGCGACGAAGAGATGCTCGAAGGAGATGTTGACCCTGGTGATATCTCCGAGAGCCCAGCGTCACGTCCAGTGAGTGTCAAGGAAGTCAACGAGAAGGAGTTCGATGCGGCATAGAGGGCCCAGCTGTAGGAACGACGGACGTTCTGTTGAGGATCTGGCTGTCACGACATTTACGACAAAGACGCGTATTGTACAAGCTGAAGCTCGATCGGCATATTGGATAACTGTATTTGTAGATATCATGATATCACTCGAACGACCTTTGTGTGCTCCTCCACCTAATGCCGAGAATACGAAAGGTATGAGGACGGTTTTGAAAAATCTACGACTGTCAGAACATTTCGACCATAAAATAATAATCAACGAGCCCGGCGGGTCTGATGCGCGCGCAGATCCAATTCTAGGGTTTCAGGTAGTTCGACATCCATCTGGTTCCCATGACTTTCTATGATAGCCTCAGCCTGTTCTTTTCTGTCCAGCTTACATAAACTAGACAGCAACCCATCTGAGCCAAAACAAAAATCGAATCGTTGTAGGGTCTCCAATTCGACAGTCGAACGAGCCACGATCCACGAGCTAGTTACTTGGAGGAGTACTGTGGTCTGGCCAGAAGCATCCTGAGGAGCGCATAGGATGTCCGATGTAGGAGTCGGAGCATCCTTCCGGCTGGCGCAAGGACTCCAGCCCTAGTCTTGGCGTTGCATGTCCACGAATAAGACCATATATTATTTTATAAGGAAGACCATGAGAGTAATAGCCTAATGCCATCTTGAACCATGAGGCATCGGATGTTATGAACATCGAATTCGTACCTCACAGTAGTTGTTGTAGCCGTGTGCCCACTAGCCTTTACGATGCATTGTCAGACGTCGACCACGCTTGGCAACCCAGGCTCTAGAGACGTTTCCCATGCTCAATACGTTCATCCCGTTTTATGATGGACCAGAAAGAGCACAAGATATTTGTATTAGCGTACTGGCCCTCTTCCGCCACAGACCGACGCTCACGTCTTTGAGTTCGTTCATATCGCACTCAGGCATGCTGGAGACAGAGAGCTGATTATGAGTGGGCGTCAAGGAGCTTAAGCTTGGGCGCTCTTGCCTCCTAACTCTTGAATGTGCTCGCCGCAAACGGCTTTATGTGAACGTGCATATCACTATCGCTTTATCTGCATCCCCATTTTCTTTATTCCTATTCAGACATGAGTGCAGATCCAATAGTGCTACCGATTGCCACCATCCAGCCCGACTTCACTGCTGTTGTCTCCGACGTTCGAGAAGGCGTGGTATCTGAAGACTCCTTCTGGCTGTCGTGCTACAAGACTGGCGAATCATCTGTCCATGGAAAAGTGTATGTCGCTCTAGATGAGACAGATCGCAGCCTCGTTCGCCTGCAAGGCGGGGGTGGTGTTCAGATCGATTTTGATGGCGATGTAAGCCCCTCCACAATTTATCAGTGCCCATAGTTCTCTGTCCTATGTGCGCTTGGAATGAGCACAAATCCGAAGTGGATGATCCCTTTCGTAGGCTACCTACGCAGCGGCGTGCCCCTCATTACATGCCCATCCGACTCGTCTGGTCGTGCCAACGGACGTCTATACCGACTCTTCGATTCTGGATCCACGTAAGGTATGTAATACTATCAGACCTCCGTCCTGCGATTAGCCTCAAACTGTGACCGCTGAACCAGTCTCACAAAATCACCGCGTTCGATGTTGCGCCGGACGGGACACAATTTGCGACTGGCTACTATGATGGTTCTGTTTGTTTGCACTCCATATCCATTAAGACAGCGCAGCCGGCGATCTGCAAGCCTCATCTCAGCACCATCACCTCCCTCCAATTCTTCCCTTCATCCCGTGTCCTCCTGACGGCGGGTACCGACTTCTCACTTTCAATACTGCCTGCCGATCCGCCCTATGCTTCTAGTGACTCCCCTGGTGCGTCTCTTGCCCCAGTGCGCATTTTGCGCGGACACACGCGTGGGGTCACTTCTACCGCAATAATTTCTCGCGGACGGAATATCCTCTCGGGTTCAAAGGACGGCACCTTGAGGTTATGGGATGTAGCAGCGGGAAACGAGATCCGCCTACACGCAGCAGGGGGCGCAGCCTACATTCCTATTCTCTCACTCGATATTGGAGAGCGAACACCCAACTGTCATTTCGACGATATTGCGGACATGCCCTCTCTTACAGACGCCGTCGAGGTCGATACCGCGGATAAAGTCGTCTTCTGTGGGCTTCTGAATGGATCTTTTGAAGTCTATGATCTACGTGTGAAGCAGTCGGCCTTTAGATCTACTCCCGACCCGAGCGCACGATTCCCACTGCAGTCCATCTCATATGCACCTTCCCATGATTTGCTCGCGACTGGTGCTTCAAATGGTCTTATCTCTGTGTACGATACACGTTCCTTTTCCTCACCCCTGACGACCTTCAAACGGAATGGTGCTTCAATAGAGGACCTGAGGCTTGTTACACTCTGGTCGTCGTCCTTTGCGCTACCACGGTCGTCTGATTGTGCGGGGATGGACGTAGATGGCGACCGGGAAGAAGTTGGCCTGGCGATCGCCACCGAAGATGGGCTACCATATGTCGCACATGTACGCCCAAGTGGGCCGAGCGTACGTGGGGAGCTGGTTGGCACCGATTGTGACCCTGTGCGCTTCGTGCGGGTGCTTCAAGAGAAGGAAATTTGGACGGCGGCGGACGATGGGGCTGTCAGGCGATATCAGATGCGGTGACTCGAGAACCTCTGCTGATGCAGTAAATTGGTGTAGATCTAACAAATTTGTATATTCTGTGAGTGCGGCGATCTGGGAAGTGAACAAATGCTGACTTCTGTAAGCTTAAGGTGCCTGTTCCTTGAGATTAAGTAATGATTGGTGCTTATGCCGAGTAAATCTTGAGTGACACTTAAAGACATATTGAGCAGTGCCGTAAGCTCTAATAGTACTGCCACTTCACAAAATTGCCGTTCTCCACGTGGTTTTGTTTCATTTCTTTGCGCCGCCTGTTGATTTCACGATAAAGAATTCATTTTATGGACGGGTAACATTTTTGCTGAAGCGTCATGCATGATGCATCCAGTCAGAATGGCCGTCGGTGCAAATTGGGAAGGGTGGTTGTAGGTGCCACTCGTTCTGCAATGTGTACAGTTCATCACTGTATTTTCTTGCAGGGGTCGCCGTCTGCATTGATCACTACGGTTGCTTCCAGGAGAGAGGGTATTTCGGAGAGAAACACATCAATTAGCGATGGTAAGTAGGATTATTGCCCAGTGCCCTCAGACGATGTGCGTTTCTACTCGCATACAGCAAGTCTACAGCTGATGCTGTCGGGATGTTGCTGCTCCATCTGCAAACTGACCGGTGTGCCAGCAGACGTCGTGCATTTCATGCCAATTGCAAACTTCAGCAACGCATGAAGAGCAACCACCATGCAATCTATGGACACGAAAAGGATCCCGTTTGGTGTGCGACAATAAGTGATGACCCAATTTCATGTCCTATCGCCATCTCACCAAATCCTAGGGAGCTGTTCACCTATTCGCACGGTGGAGGGCTTCAAATTTGGATTCTGCGCGACGACAGCAAATGGCAAAACATGAAGAGGCTCCATCTCCACACTTGTCGCGACGAACTACGTACTCCAGGTCAATCGCAATGACAAGCAACGCTGAGTCAAGACGAAAGCTGCGCAGAAGAGTGCTTGTTTGCAGAGGAAGCGAGTGCTGAGGTTGACGTCTGTTTCCGTGTAGCGTTCCTAATGATTGTACCGTAATTGAGTGCGGCGAAGATGTGAATATCGATCCAAATAATGCGAACGCCAACAATGCTATTAGATGAATGATAAGACAAAATCAAAGCGCAACAAAAACTCGTGACTTCGGTGCGGGCTGTGTATGGGGCCACCAAGAAAAGCGTCAGCATCAGACAAGAGTGGCTGGAAGAGTCAAAGCGCCGCCATCAGCCTGCCGAGGTTTGGCAAGACTGACATGGAATCCACAGAGATTGCATTGTCTGCTCAGATTCTTTATCTGCCTTCGGACCCTTGACGACTCACTGAGTGGCGTTCTCGTGGCAGTGGTTTAAGATAGTCATCGGGCAGCATTCTTGACCACATACTTTTCCTAATCGAACTCTCTGCAAAATCGACCTCACTATGCCCAATCGTGCGTCCATCTTTGCTTGCGTAGCGAGTAAATGGCGAGGCTAACTTTATGATATTAGCTTTTGGATTTATCAAATTTCAAGACGTCCTCACTCTAGTACGGGGCATGGCATGGGGAGGAACAGAAACAGGCTCGAGGCAGGCACCTGAGCAATGTGTACAATTAGTTAGCCTGGAAGCGATCATACAGTCCAGTAAGTCAGAACAACTGGGTTTTAAGTAAAGACCACTGACATTTTATAGCTGGAGCGACCATGGCTCCCATCATTTATCAGTGGGCTATCGAACGTGTCACGATCACCATTGGGTTCTTGGTTGTAATCGGGCTCCTTGTTCGGCAACGCTCTGGTCAAACTCCTCAACTTTACGATTCAACACGCAACCCGGGTCCTGTTGGGAGGACTGTCCGGCTTGCTAGGGAGTATTCCCAGCGAGCTTGTGAAATGATGCCACCATCTGTACAGCTACCTGTTTGGGGCGTATACCGACGCAAGATCAGGTTTCTGGAGGAACGGTCGACCTTCACCATGACGCGTGATGACGCACCTATCGCAAAGCCAGAGCCACGCGTGGGATGGGTCCCTCAGCCGGAAGATCTTCACTCGCATGTGGTCGAAGGGAGGAGCATCCAGGTGTGGATGCGCACGGAAAACGGTGAATGGACCAGTGTGCACCAGTTTTTCCCCCACCCACGCCTCGGCGGATACATGCTGCAGATTTCGGAGAACGGCAATGCAACCTGGGTCAAGGAAGTCACGGCTTACAAGAACGCTCGAGGCCGCACTAAAGTCGGTAAGTCACACTTCTATTACATGTAGTGCGGAGAGGGCTATTGACCTTGCCGCTGAAGTTGCAAGCCAGACGTCCTCCTAAGTGAAAAATCATCATACTTGTGCGCATTGTTGTCAAATCAATGATTCTGCACTAACAAGAGAGAAAGACATGGAGTGGGGCAGTAGGGGGGTCCGTTACAATATCCTTGAAGTGGATACTCGAAGCGCGAGGGCGGAATCATTTCCAATCGTTTTACTACAAGTTATTGTCTCGAACGTTGATTCCTATTATCATTGTCATTCATATGTATGTTCTGTTGATACATAAAGCATATCAGCACTTACAGTAACCCACCTCCAAGTTGGCTTGCGTTGAATCCTCTGTTCAAAATGTACTACAAGCTCGGCCTGAGGCTCTAGCGCCACACCGTGACGCGTGATGCTGGGTAAAGCCGTTGCGCGCGCACGCACCAGCTGCGCGCTCAGCTCGCGTCCCCCTTCTCATAACAGCATAACTTGCTTATCATTTTCGGGGTTTCACCAGCATTCATATCTAATACAGGGGATTTGGGGCCAACTGCTCAAGGATTCAAGGATCTGCTCATCTGGCAGTTGTTGCAGTCTGAATGGGATTAAATGATACCATCTATCACGGCAGACATTGCAGTGAGTTATCAATATGTTTGCGTATAACCTTGATGTCTTGACAATCCTTGTATCTAGCCCCTTTTCCCTCAAATTCATACGCCAAAATTTTCCATTTATGGTCTCGCCTTGATAGTATCGGGCGATACCATGGAGGCGTTGCTGTGTACCGCGCCTGCTGAGCTTCATGCTCAGCAGGTGTGAGTGCACAGCTGCACTTCCCGTGGAAAATCGAAAGCAAATGAAACTGCGTCATCTTGCGTTTATACTTGAAACCAACGATCCTTCTCCACGTTTACGATACTCCTCAGCCCTCTAGCAATGTGATGGCTAGATAAGTGCAATACGTTAAGCTACGTATCTCTGTTAACTCCAAAACCCCAAGAGAATGTTTGCAGTACGAATAAAGACATATCACTGAACGACACACTGTGGCCACTTGTGGCTCTGGTTGTCGGGATCCCCACAATTTTAGTTACCTGTGCCATTGAGCGCCTTCAGGAAAAATTTGTCAGCCCTCCTTGGTGCATACAACCTGGACAGTCTGCCTACCATTCGTACTGCGGGGAGTTTGCGATGACCGGGGCAGTATCACCCATCTCGAATCTGAGGTCGCTGCTGATGTGGTCGTCGCACAGGTGGTCAATTTATTGGAATTCGAGTGTTGACATTCGCTTCCTACATGCTACTAGCGCTGGTGTCCAAGCTCGATGGTCCTGTGTTCGCTGATCAGTATCAGCCTGTACTTGCTCATCTCGCTCTCACCATATAGGGACTGCTACAGCTACTTTGCAGATGGATATCATCGCGAGCACGAAGGCTAAAGGACTAGGTCGCATGTTTGAAGGTGGTGATCGCGTCGAGAATGTTGTTACTGTATGAATTTTTCAGTGCATCTCCTCGAGAGATTACTTGGCGCTTGATTGGTGCGAGGATAAAATTGAAGGCGTACTATTTCACAGCGACTTGGATAATGAGCGGAATGGGCACCGAGTCGGTCGCCAGCAACGTCGTGAATCTATTCACTCTATCCGCTATTTTATGGTATTCGCTGCGCTGAGACTGTGAGCCGTCCTTGTGGATGATCTCTGTTACCAATAATACCCGAAGGCTACATGTCAATGTCATCAGCTGCCAATTTGTCGGCGCTGCTCGGAATGATATAAAGTCCGGTCGTTTAATGTGCCTCAGTGCTGTGTGGGGTCCTTGCTTCGATTGTCTCACTCAGCAGATAGCTGTCTATCCGTGAAGCTCAATGCGCAGCCCCATTGGATAACGTTCCTACGCAAGCGAGTATGCTGTTCAGACAGCCTCATTGCTCTGCATTAGTCTTTATAATTATAATTATAATTTTACAGGATATACAACCATTATACTGACAGTAGCAATATATATTCAGGAAGCTCTCAGTCAAGATTTCATTGTCCGTTTAAGCTTGTCCCTCTCACTTACAACCCGAGCACCTTCGCAACGTTTTCGTCCCTCGGGACGAGCTTGATGCGGAATGGAACGGGCGAACGACCAGACAGACCGTCGTACTCTTTCAAGTCGATGGGCTCGCCGGGTATCTCGATCATATTGAATGCCCAGAGCATCCGCGAGATGGCCAGCCAGATCTCGCGCTCTGCAACTATCATGCCAGGACAAATGCGACGGCTGTATACATGACCGTTTTAGATCTTAGATTACAGGATCCATCGTGAAAGAGGGCACTCACCCTGCGCCGAACATCCAGTGGTCCCGCTCGTATGGGTCTGCGAGGTTGGCAGATTCAGTGTTGTTGGTACTGTCGTTGACATACCGCTCAGGCTGGAAGACCGTCCGTAAAAACTCGTGATCAAATAGTCAGATGTGCAACACTTACGTTGAACTTCTCTGGATCTGCGTGGCGGCTAGGGTCGTAATGCATCGAGTACGTGTTGAGGATCACGACAGTACCCTTAGGGATGAACTGGCCTTCGTAGGTGAAGTCTTCCGAGGCGACGTGCGGAGTGCCGAGCCAGAAGGGATTGTGGCACCGCTCGACCTCCTTGATGATCGCGTGGCAGAAGGGAAGGTTGATCTCGTCTTCAATCGTTGGTAGGCGGTCCCGGCCAACGACTCTGTCGAGTTCTTCGTGTGCCCGCTTCTGGATTTCCGGGTAGGCAGGGATAAGTGCGGAGAACCATTGCATGATGGATGCAGTCTGGATGCACGCTTTGGTTAGTTTGGAGTCCAGAGACGAGCAGAATAGCATGGATACTCACCGTCTCAACACCACCAATCATGAATGCGGAAGCCAAGATGGCCAT